GTAGGCGTTAGCGGCAGAGGTCGCATCAGCTTTTAGCCGTCGTCTAGCTCCATTAAATATGATTGTGAAGGAGCTTACAGGTGATATGCAACTCAGCAAGACTGAACTTGAAGAAACTCAGGTTTCACTTTAAGCTTATAAGACATGCTTAAGTTTCTTGTGGTGACATGCAGGAATTGATATGAACCTGTTATATATTGATTGTGACTTAGATGATAGTGACAACACCAGAGAAATGGGATGTCATTACTCGCAAAAGCAGTGACATGTCATTGTCAATGCTTGTAAAACTCTTGATCATTGATGAAGTGCATCTTCTGAATGATGATAGAGGTGCAGTGATAGAGGCACTAGTTGCTCGGACCCTCCGTCAGGTTTGATAATATTTCTTTTCATTGTTGAGTTAAATGCTAAAACAATCTGGTCGTGAAAATTGGATTTGTTAAAAGTAATTTTTTTGAAGTTGTATTAATTGTACTCCTCCTTATGATGCAGCAGTTTAACATCTGTTGACTTTTGTTTTGTGTATCAGGTGGAGTCAACACAGACAATGATAAGAATTGTCGGCCTGTCAGCCACTTTACCTAGCTACATACAGGTCTATTCCAACATTATATTTATCTCTGTCATTGTGGTTATGCCACGACATTGTTTTACTTCACATTTCCTATTTGTAATTGCTCAAGATTGTGAGTTTTTAAAACCTTTTGTCGAGTGGATTTCAGGTTGCTCAGTTTCTACGAGTGAATCCAGACACTGGCCTTTTCTATTTTGATTCGAGTTATCGCCCAGTTCCCTTGGCTCAGCAGTATATAGGCATTACCGAGAATAACTTTGCTGCCAGAAATGAATTGTTAAATGAGATATGCTACAAAAAGGTCTCTATCTTCAGCAAAGCCTCTTGTGTATCTATTTGAATATGAACAGTCACTTATCTGTCTGGTAATGCTTTCATGTTAGGTTGTTGATTCAATTAGACAAGGTCATCAAGCAATGATTTTTGTTCATTCCCGAAAAGACACTTCAAAAACAGCTGAGAAACTGGTACATGATATTTTTATTTTTTATAGTTGGCCTCTTCTGTTTACCGGATGTCTTCCAAAATGCATGCATTTGTGGGTTTCCTAAATCTTAAATATTGCATACACCTGAAAAGACGAGAGGATGATCTTGCTGCAAATATGATTTCTCAATGGATTTCATAATCCAGATCTAGACGTACATGACTTTAATATTTTCACTTTGGTAGGTTGAGCTTGCCCAGAAATATGAAACTCAGGATTTGTTCATGAATGAGACTCATCCTCAATTTTTTATGATGAAGGTAATAAGAGTTGTATACATCATCTTCTTTAACTTCAGTCTTGTCATTAATTCTCAGAGTTGTTTTTGCTGTATTTTAGAAAGATGTCATGAAGTCCAGAAATAAGGATCTTGTCAGACTCTTTGAAGCTGGCTTTGGTGTTCATCATGCTGGGATGTTGCGACCTGATAGAACACTTACGGAGAGGCTGTTTTCTGATGGACTCTTGAAGGTACGAAATATAATTGTTTGCTTGCTCTTAATTGTTTAGATACTTCTTCCAACTTGTTCTGGTCATTCAGGTGCTTGTTTGCACTGCAACTCTTGCTTGGGGTGTAAATCTGCCTGCACATACAGTCGTAATTAAGGTATGTTTATGTGTAGACCAATTGATTTCTATGTTAGCTGCTTTCACAAATGGATGGTTTTTGTATAACCAAACTTCACTCTGTAATCTGTGCCAAGAGAAGTTTCTCTTCTGGGAGATTATCAAATGGTGCATATACTTTCCTTATAGCTCAATATATTCGGTTAATTTCCAGGGAACACAATTGTATGATGCCAAGGCTGGTGGGTGGAAAGACTTGGGAATGCTTGATGTCATGCAGGTAAACGAAAAAATCCTCTTTGGAAAAAGGCATGACATTGCAAATATATTTGGTATTATTATAGCATGCTATTATATGCATTAGATCTTTGGAAGGGCTGGGAGACCGCAGTTTGACAAGAGTGGTGAAGGAATTATCATCACATCCCATGACAAGCTGGCATACTATCTTCGGCTGCTGACAAGTCAGCTTCCCATAGAAAGTCAGGTATTGGGCAGAAACCTAAAAGGACTTTGGTCTGTCATCTTAATGCATTAACCTGCATTTGTAGTTTGATCTGTCATTTCTTTGGACAACAAAGATTCATTGTAATTCATATTTGCAGTTCATAAGCTCCTTGAAAGACAATTTAAACGCAGAAGTGGTGTTGGGAACTGTGACTAATGTTAAGGAAGCCTGTGCTTGGCTTGGATATACATATTTATCAATTCGGATGAAGTTAAATCCTTTGGCTTATGGCGTTGGATGGGACGAGGTGCGTTATTCTTTGCATTTTGGTGTTTAATTTTTCAAACTTTATGTTTTCCTATATCCCTTGGGAACACTTGTTTACATGGGTAATCTCCATAGCTATCGTTACTCTGGCTGATGAAGATCTTTGACCTACTCTCCATCTTTACAAAGTGTTAGGGTTCTTCACCTGTGTTCTAAAATTGTGTTCTGGTTTTGTAAGCTCTAAAAGTGTAGATGAAGATCTTAATTCTGGATTTTGTTTGTGTTCATGCCATTTCATAGTTAAGACACTTCTGGTGTGTTTATGCTACAATTATATGTGCGCCTAAAACCATTCTGACCGTGCTACTTGTCACATGTCACAGATAATTGCCGATCCTTCTTTAACATTGAAGCAACGAGCTCTTGTGGCTGATGCTGCACGTTCACTGGACAAAGCTAAGATGATGAGGTTCGATGAAAAAAGTGGAAACTTTTACTGTACCGAGCTTGGACGGGTTGCAAGTCACTTCTATATTCAATATTCTAGTGTTGAAACATACAATGAAATGTTGAAGCGGCACATGAATGAAAGCGAGGTTTGCTATAATCATTCTGTTTTTATTACATGTTCCTTTAATGACTGTCTTCATATCATTGCTATCTTATCTTCTTGTTTTATAAGTATAGGTGCCCACCTTGTTCTTTGCATCGTACCTTGCTAAAGTTTTCTCCGTTACTTACTGATATCAAATTTTCTGGTGTAGATAATTAATATGGTTGCCCATTCTTCTGAATTTGAAAATATTGTGGTAAGAGAAGAAGAGCAGCATGAACTTGAGACTCTTGCACGCTCTTGCTGTCCCTTAGAAGTTAAGGGAGGCCCTTCTAACAAACATGGAAAAATTTCAATTCTCATTCAGGTCAATGACTCTCACAACCACTACTAGAAGATGAAATAGATGGTTGATATTGAGTTCTGATATACTGACTTTATGATCTGCAGTTGTACATATCCCGTGGGTCAATTGATTCATTTTCTCTGATCTCTGATGCTTCATATATTAGTGCTAGTTTAGCACGTATAATGCGTGCTCTGTTTGAGACATGCTTGCGAAAAGGCTGGTGTGAGATGACTTTATTTATGTTGGAATACTGCAAGGCAGTTGATCGTCAACTATGGCCTCATCAACATCCTCTTCGGCAATTCGATAGGGATCTACCTTTTGATGTAAGTTTCTGTATGTTACATTTGACTTGTAATAAGTAATACTTTTTCTCTAATCCATCTCAATTGACCAGACATTGAGAAAACTTGAAGAGCGAGGGGCTGACTTAGACCGTTTGTATGAGATGGAGGAAAAAGACATTGGAGCGCTGATTCGTTACAATCCTGGGGGAAGGGTATATATATCTTAAGTTCACTAAGTTAATGCATGCATATATGGAAAAAAGCGCTAACATTTTCGGCTTTTTGCTTTCATGGGGAATTCTAGTTGGTCAAGCAACATCTAGGATATTTTCCTTCCATTCAGTTGGCAGCTACTGTTAGTCCAATCACCCGCACTGTATTGAAGGTACCTTATGGAAAGCCTCTTCAATATTTAATATTCTTTCAGACGACGATCTATCAAACATCTTTCTTTTCGTCACCATTTTTAGGTGGATTTGCTTATAACTCCAGATTTCGTATGGAAGGATCGTTTTCATGGTGCTGCTCTTCGTTGGTGGATTCTCATTGAGGTTCTACTATTGAACTCGCATTAAGACACATGTGTTGCAGTGACAAAAAATGAGCTGTTATATACAATCAATATCTCATCCTATAGCGCTACTAACCACTAGGAAGATAAAATACTCTGTTGTGCTGGATAGCATTTGTAAACAAGCTTGCTAGTTAAATAATGATAATCAACCTTAAATAGTGCTTACTCTTTTGGTAATGTTGATATATTCCAATAGTAACACTTAGCTTGTGCTATTGTCTTCAACAGGACACAGAGAATGATTATATCTACCACTCAGATCTTTTCACACTAACAAAGCGGATGGCTAGAGGGGAACCGCAGAAGCTTTCTTTTACCGTGCCTATATTTGAACCACATCCACCGCAATACTATGTTCATGCTGTTTCTGATTCTTGGTTGCATGCAGAGTCTTTCTTCACAATCTCTTTCCACAATCTTGCACTACCAGAGGTATATTGCTTCTATAGGTTGTCACCAAACGGTCACTAGATCATTTGTACCCTTAAGTTTTCTGCAAGATAAGTCCTAACATTCTTCTTCGTTCAGGCACGAACGTCTCACACAGAGCTTCTAGACTTGAAACCTCTTCCTGTGACATCTCTTGGGAATAGGTTGTATGAATCGCTTTACAAATTTTCACATTTCAATCCAATACAGACTCAGGTTTGAGCATACTCTGGCCTATGCTTCTCTTAGTTTTGTTCATTTATTCATCACTCCTTTTCTAGTTAATTGAAAAACATATGCTTTGGTGTTGCAGATATTTCATGTGTTATATCACACAGACAACAATGTTCTTGTTGGAGCACCAACTGGAAGTGGGAAAACTATATCTGCTGAACTTGCAATGTTGCGTCTCTTCAGTACCCAGCCTGATATGAAGGTGTTCACAGTCTCCTAACGCTGACTATTTATTCAGTTCCAGTACATGTTTCAGTTTATTTTACATGATTAAGTTCAAGCTGAATTACCGGCCTGTTACTAAATCTCCATATTTAAATGAAATCATGATTTTTTAAAACGATATCAAAGATTAGTTTAGTTTCTAGTGTTCTATTTTCTTACTGAAGATGGTTTTTTTTTTTGTGGCATGCAGGTTGTTTACATAGCACCACTAAAGGCTATTGTTCGAGAAAGAATGAACGATTGGAAAAAGCATCTTGTTGCTCCACTTGGAAAAAAAATGGTATACGGATATTTCATGTTACAATGAATACTGCGCTGGAGCATCTATACATGTTGCAGACTCATAATCCATGCTTGCTTTATTTTGACTACCAGATGTTATTCCTAACACTCACATTTCCACAGGTTGAAATGACTGGAGATTACACTCCAGATTTAGTAGCTCTCTTGTCCGCAGATATCATCATATCAACCCCTGAAAAATGGGATGGCATTAGTCGTAATTGGCATACTCGAAGTTATGTCAAAAAGGTGTATTTCTTTGTCAATAGATTGCTGTGTCGGCTTACCTTTTTCGTGTGTGGTAACTTATGATGTTCTGGGGATATATAGGTCGGCCTTGTAGTTTTGGATGAGATTCACTTGCTAGGAGCTGACAGAGGACCCATCCTTGAGGTAGAAGCTTAAAAACTATTATATCACATTTCTAACTACTTATGCTAAGCTCCACTAAATGCTTAGAAGTTTCCAGTTATATCATGACACCTGTAATATTAATGGGGAAGAGCTGATATTCTTTCGGCAACAGGAATTTTTCAACGCTCTGTGCTCCACCCTATTTATTTTCGACCTACATTTGGTTTCCAGGTTATTGTGTCTAGAATGAGATACATATCATCACAGACAGAGCGCTCCGTCCGATTTGTTGGTCTTTCTACAGCTCTGGCAAATGCAGGGTCCGTTTTCTAGCTTCTTTGCCTCTTTGAATTTTGTAGGCTCTTTTCTGTGTGATTTTCATTTGCTTGTCTTCTTGAATTAACCGTGAAACATGCAACTGAATGTACGAGCTGGTAGACTGTTATCCATGTCTTTACTGTGCAAATGATACCATGCTTATAGTGTGATATATTAGTGAAGGACTTTAAATTTTAGTGTTATCTACTAAAAATGTGATTGTGGAAGATGACATAAGAAATACCTTACTCTCAATTTTTCTGTAAGCCGTTTCCCTGGATTCCATCACTTCTCTCAAGTTCTGTGTACTGAAAACTTCTGGTTGTACATTGGTTTTTTTGGGTAACTTTAAGATTTTGACTTGATGGTCCATTTTCATTCAGTGATTTGGCTGACTGGTTGGGTGTTGGGGAGATCGGACTTTTCAATTTTAAACCAAGTGTCAGACCTGTACCAATTGAAGTTCATATTCAGGTAAGTCAATATCTTTTCTCTAGTCTGGGAGCAACAATACCTTACTTAAACAGAACACTATTTACGTCTCCTATACTGTACTTGGTTATATAAAAATCTCAATCTCTTGAGCTGTTTTTTTACCATTTTCGATGGGTGGATGGATTGAAGCTATGCAAGGAAACTATTTTAAGCATGAGATCTCCAGACTTAACCTTGCTTTGCTTTCAGGGTTATCCAGGAAAGTATTACTGCCCAAGGATGAATAGCATGAACAAGCCAGCATATGCAGCCATATGTACCCATTCACCTACAAAACCTGTTCTTATCTTTGTTTCATCTCGTAGACAGACAAGGCTTACCGCACTGGATCTTATTCAGGCATGATTAATCATCAAACACAAACACCAAATCATCTTTTGACTATATAACTCTAATTTGTATAATCTTTTACATCTTCTTTTCCTATGAAATAAAGTTTGCGGCCTCAGACGAACATCCGCGACAGTTTCTGAGTGTGTCAGAGGAAGACTTGCAGATGGTCCTCTCTCAGATCACTGACCAGAACCTCCGACATACATTGCAATTTGGCATTGGATTGCATCATGCAGGTTTGAATGACCACGATAGATCTACAGTGGAAGAGCTTTTCACAAACAACAAGATTCAGGCACTTCCCTTAACTTATGCTCTCTCCGCCCTCATGTTTTCATCCATGCTTTATGCTTTTACATCAAAGAGTGATAATGACTTTCATGCTTCCATTTCAGGTTTTGGTCTCAACGAGTACATTGGCATGGGGAGTGAACCTACCAGCTCATTTAGTTATCATAAAGGTAAAAGCAGATCCTCTGCTATGACATTGTATTTTTACTTGATATTTATGCTATATTTTTGATTTGTATCTATTACATATGTGTTGTTTGGAGTCACTTTCTCAGATTTTCTCTTCTAACGCATTGTCTTTTCTTTAATATGATTGTCTATGGCAATGTTTTCTAATGCCACAGGGAACAGAATATTTCGATGGAAAAACCAAAAGATATGTTGACTTTCCTCTTACTGAGATCCTGCAAATGATGGGTCGTGCAGGACGTCCACAGTTTGATCAACATGGGAAAGCGGTTATTCTTGTACATGAACCTAAAAAAAGCTTTTACAAAAAGGTCGAGTGCAGTTGAGATTCTCTAGCGGTCTTAATAGCCTTTGCATGAATTTACCTCAATCATCATCTTTCCTCTGATTGCAGTTCTTGTACGAACCATTCCCAGTAGAAAGTAGCCTAAAAGAGAAGTTGCACGATCACTTCAACGCAGAAATAGTCTCTGGGACAATCGGCAATAAAGAAGACGCAGTGCATTATCTTACATGGACGTATTTGTTTCGTAGATTAGTAAGTGTGCTTCATATTTCATCAAAAAGAGAGACACAGCTCGAGAATTCAATTCTGGTTCCTATGAGAAACTGTGCTAAGTTCATAATCAGTGTTGAAGCACTGTCTAGTAAACTCTTTACCAAGTTTGACACCATTAGCCAGATTATTTTTTCCCTTTAAGAGTTCTCCGTTGCTGCAAACTGTTCTGTCTATGAAACAATGCTCATGAAATGACTGTCTATGTAACAGATGGCTAATCCTGCTTACTATGGGCTAGAAGGTACTCAAGATGAAACAGTGTGTTCCTACTTATCAAGGTATATACCAAAATTGTTTCACAAAAAAGATTTCTCTAACATAAATTAAGAGCCATTATAACATAGGGGTACATTGACTGGGTTTCTTGTAGATTGGTGCAAAACACGTTTGATGATCTTGAAGACAGTGGATGCCTCAAAGTAACAGAAGATAGTGTGGAGCCTATGATGCTGGGTACAATAGCATCACAGTATTACCTTTGCTACATGACCGTGTCTATGTTTGGCTCTAATATAGGCCCCGACACTTCGCTCGAAGTAAGAAGCTGAACTGATCAACTCCAATAAGTAATCACACGTGAGCATGAATATATCCATACACGAGATGTTGATGTTTTTTTTTTTTGGTTTGTGATCACTGCCCTTTTAGGCATTTTTGCATATATTGGCGGGAGCGTCTGAGTATGATGAACTTCCTGTGCGACATAATGAGGTTTGTTTCTTTGTTCACACTATTGTACTTAGAAGATAGTATTTTTAGTGATAAGCTGTCTACAATTATCGCTCTTTATATTCTTTATGCCCTCTTCTTCCATAGGAAAATTACAACAAAACCCTGTCAGAGAAAGTTCGTTATCCCGTGGATAACAACCATCTAGATGATCCTCATGTGAAGGCGAATCTGCTCTTCCAGGTATGTTTACATTACCATGCACTAAAGGATTAAAACAATATCCAAACTGTATGAGCTCCATGTTTGAATCATAAAGTTTATTATTGTGACCGATCTTAATAATGCACGACTTCCGGTCCTCCAGGCACATTTTTCGCAGTTGGCACTTCCAATCAGTGATTATAACACGGATTTAAAGTCAGTGCTGGACCAAAGCATTCGGATCCTCCAGGCCATGATTGATATCTGCGCAAACAGCGGATGGCTTTCAAGCTCGCTGACGTGCATGCGTCTTTTGCAAATGGTCATGCAGGTACTCTCCTGAAGATTACTACTCTTATCTTGTTCCACTTCTTCGGTGGCAGAACCAAAATACCAATCGACAAAGGAGAACGCTTTTACTTGATCCAATTCTTTTCTTTAATTCCAGGGCATGTGGTCAGATCAAGATTCATCATTATGGATGATCCCGTGCATGAATGATGATCTTCTAGGATCTCTGACCGCAAGAGGAATCCACACGCTGCATCAGCTATTAAATCTTCCAAGGGACACTCTACAAAGTGTAACCGGAAATTTCCCTGCATCAAGATTATCTCAGGTACCAAACCTCTCTCAAATTGATGACAACTATTTCTTTTACGCATCTAACATTTCATCACATGGACTTGTCTAACTCTTATCTGTGTACTCGTTGGTCTTTATTAGGATCTCCAACGATTTCCGCGGATCCAAATGAATGTGAGACTTCAAAGGAAGGAATCTGGTGGCAAGGAAAAGACTTCGATGCTGGAAATCAGATTGGAGAAGACATCAAAGAGGAGCTCGAGAGCGTTAGCCCCTCGATTCCCAAAGGTTTCACTAAAGACTTACCACAGATTTTACTTTGAGCTCAAAACCAAATATGTGTTGCGATGCATAAAATATTCCTCACGTGTACTTGGGTTATAATAGGTGAAAGACGAAGCGTGGTGGTTGGTTCTGGGTGACACTTCAACTTCCGAACTCTTTGCCGTGAAGAGAGTATCATTCACTGGTCGTCTGATCACACGCATGGAGTTACCTCCCAACATAACCTCTCTTAAGGTCCATTTTTTCTTCTTCTTTCCTCTAACTGAATCGTTCTTTCTTACACTCTGGAAACATTATTGCTGAATTTGTTGTCGTCTTTACTTTTGGTCAGGATACGAAACTAATCTTAGTTTCGGATTGTTATTTGGGGTTTGAGCAAGAACACTCCATTGAACAACTTGGACGACGCTCATGAGCCATCAAATGATAGGAAGGAGTCGTTATTCACTAATATTGTCGTAAGCCCATAGCTTTATGGTACGTTTTTGATGTCGTCGAAATTTTCTGAAAATTCTACCTTTTTTTTCTTCTAGTTAATGTAAAACCCAAAATTTACAAAAGTTCAATTTATGTAATACAGTGACACAGATTTTTGGACTAACAAATAATTCAGGAGTTTTAAATGTGTTTACTCTTGTGGAAGTCTCTTTTTTACTCCGTGGTTGACCAATATGTTCGGGTCAACTTTAACATATTGTTTTGGAATAATTATTAGGAATCGTAGTTACAGAAGGAAAAAAACCATCTATTATTATCTTCAACTAATACATAAATTTTCCGAAATATTATTCAACCCCATAATTTGATGTCTTTATTTGATTCAAACGAGTCTAATTCCAGACTACATTATCAAATTGATGCAAGGAGAGATTTGAGAAAATTATTAATCTTCGTCACTGTCATAAACCATGGCCATACGACGATGAGTCGGAGCTTTTCTTGGTGGAGACTCCTCCTCGTCGGACTCAATTCCTTTCCTTTTCCGGCTACTCCCACGCTCCTTCTCTGCCCTACCACCCTGCATTCACCATAACATTACATTACAATCTTAAACGATCTTCCCTCATTTACAACAAGAGATAAAAGTAA